AATATATATATATATTAATTATTAAACAAAAATAAACAAACTAAATAATTAATAAACGAATAGCAAAGTTTTGAAATAGACTCTTGTAAATGAAATATCAATGGAAGTGAAAAAAAGTCAGTTAATAAATCATTATCAAAACTTATATTTGGTATGTTTTGAAAGACATTTTATTGTGGATGATCAATACTTTCTACTGTTTCTTGTGTATTCAACACCACAATCTAAAAAATAAACAATCTGTTGAAGTCTAATTTTTTTTTGACGTAAGTCAGAAGAATCAGAGCTACTCACAATTTCAGGCGAAAGTTTCAAATTGAATTTGAGGTTTTGAAACAGGAAAAACATGTTTTCCGAAATGTCGACCACTAAATAGAGATAAGTATAAATTAGGTATAACTTTAAAGGGACAGATTTATTTTAAACTTTGTACACTTATGAAGAATCGGTGACAATACAATAATTTAAAAAGTTTATCTCATTATCCTGATCAGGATCGCCAGGATTGAATAATTTTCTCACCCAGTCTCCGTGTGAGAGCAAATTGATGAAATCTTTATTGGAATCGATAGAACAATCAATATAATTCAATGTTTGAAGATGATTTCATACTAATGTTGTCCGCGGCTCCGCTTCAGATGACCCATGCGCAAGGTCCAATTTTGCCACACTCTCTCTAACACATCAACTGGTATTTCACATATAAATGCTTCAATATAGCCTTCCAGAGCGTCAGCGGTTGTTGGTTTATCCCTGTAGACATGAGCCTTAACATGACCTCACAAAAAATAAACCGAAGGCGTTAAATCACACGATCTAGGCGGCCAATTGACAGGCCACAAACGTGAAATAAACTGTTCACCGAAGGCGGCTTTCAATTGGACCATTGTTTCGTGTGGCATATGGCATTGTCTTGTTGAAACTACATGTCAGGCATGTCGAATTCTTCCATTTTGGCCAACAAAAAGTCGTCAATCATCACACGGTAGCGCTCGCCATTCACATTAACGTTCCGGCCACTGTCGTCTTTGAAGAAGTACGGCCCGATGATGCCACCGACCCACAATCCACACCAAACAGTGACTTTTTCGGTATGCATCGGTAGCTCTTGCACTGCTTGTGGTTGGTCTTCACTCCAGATGCGGCAATTTTGCTTGTTAACGTATCCATTCAACCAGAAATGAGCTTCGTCGCCGAACACAATTTTTCGATAAAAATGTGGATCTTTCTCCAACTTTGCCAGCGCACATTCAACAAATGTTAGACGTTGTGGGAGGTCGTGTGGCTTCAATTCTTGCACCAGCTGTATCTTATAAGGTTTTACACCTAAATCCTTCCGCAAAATTTTCCACGTAGTGGAGTGACAGAGGCCCAATTGCTGCGAACGGCGGCGAATCGACATTTCACGGTCATCACGAACACTGGCGGATACAGCCGCAATATTTTCTTCGGTCCTCACTCTACGTATGCGTGTTGGTGGTTTAATGTCCAATAATGTAAACTGGGTTCGAAATCTATTCACAAGCTTCCGAATAGTTTCCTCAGTAGGCCGACGAAACTGTGTTTATTCGTAAGTCGATTCTTGGTTGAATTATAGACCAAACCGATCAAGTTTGACAATGACACAAGACACGATTCACGCGTGATCTGTCAAAAACAGTGTTGCCAAAAAGATACCATCAAAAAATCACTCATTATTGAGCAGTAACTTTTCGGGGTGAACTTTTCAGTTTGCCCTTTATTACACTTCAGCCCTATTGATTTAGCTGTGTTAATTTTTCAAATTGTGGAAGGTTATATGCCTGTGAAATGTCGACCACTAAAGAGAGATAAGTATAAACTAGGTATAACTTTAAATGAACAGATTTATTTTAAACTTTGTACACTTATGAAGAATCGGTGACAATTCAGTAATTTAAAAAGTTCATCTCATTATCCTGATCAGGATCGCCAGGATTAAATCATTTTGTCACCCAGTCTCTGTGTGTGTGAGGCAACCACACTGTCTGCGCATGCGTATATTTTAATATTAAAACAAATGGGCTTGAAAACAACACAACAAATTTGAAAAAATTGATAAAACCTTTATTGGAATCGATAGAACGATCAATATAATTTAATGTTTGAAGATGATTTCATACAAATGTTGTCCGCGGCTCCGCTTCAGATGGCCCATGCGCAAGGTCAAATTTTGTCACATTCTCTCTAACATATCAACTGGTATTTCACGTATAAATGCTTCAATATTGGCTTCCAGAGCGTCAGTCGTTGCTGGTTTATCCCTGTAGCCTTAACATGATCCCACAAGAATTAAACCGAAGGCGTTAAATCACACGATCTAGGCGGCCAATTGGCAGGCCCCAAACGTGAGAAAAACTGTTCACCGAAGGCGGCTCTCAATTGGGCCATTGTTTCGTGTGACATGTGGCACCGTCTTGTTGAAACTACATGTCAGGCATGTCCAATTCTTCCATTTTGGGCATCAAAAAGTCGTCAATCATCACACGGTAGTGCTCGCCATTCACAGTAACGTTCCGGCCATTGTCGTCTTTGAAGAAGTACGGCCCTATGATGCCACCGACCCACAATCCACACCAAACAGTGACTTTTTCGGTATGCATCGGTAGCTCTTGCAATGCTTGTGGCTGGTCTTCAGTCCAGATGCGGTAATTTTGCTTGTTAACGTGTCCATTCAACCAGAAATGAGCTTCGTCGCCGAACACAATTTTTCGATAAAAATGTGGATCTTTTTCCAACTTTGCCAGCGCCCATTCACCAAATGTTAGACGTTGTGGGAGATCGTGTGGCTTCAATTCTTGCACCAGCTGTATCTTTTAAGGTTTTACACCTAAATCCTTCTGCAAAATTTTCCACGTAGTGGAGTAACAGAGGCCCAATTGCTGCGAACGGCGGCGAATCGACATTTCACGGTCGTCACGAACACTGGCGGATACAGCCGCAATATTTTCTTCGGTCTTCACTCTACGTATGCGTGTTGGTGATTTAATGTCCAATAATGTAAACTGGGTTCGAAATTTATTCACAAGATTCCGAATAGCTCCCTCAGTAGGCCGACGAAACTGTGTTTATTCGTAAGTCCATTCATGGTTGAATTATTTACCAAACCGATCAATTTTGACAATGACACAAGACACGATTCACGCGTGATCTGACAAAAACAGTGTTGCCAAAAAGATACCAGCAAAAAATCACTCATTATTGAGCAGTAACTTTTCGGGGTAAACTTTTCAGTTTGCCCTTTATTACACTTCAGCCCTATTGATTTAGCTGTGTTAATTTTTCAAATTGTGGAAGGTTATATGCCTGAAAAAAAAGTATTAGATTTGGTAATAATTACCTGAAATCTTTCTGGTCATAGAAGTCCCAGGCAGATGCATGGCACACTATTTCTCTGTCCTTTGGTTTGACCAATATCGAATTATCCCAAAAAGTTTGTGGCATCTCAGTGAGGTTAATGGACTTGAAAAATTCCTCAGCTGTTTTAAATATTTTTGTTACGGTATAATTCTAAAATTGAAAAAAAAGTGGTGATACATTATCTTTATTGCATCTTCCTAGATAATAAATATCGAAACGGATACATAAAAGTAAGAACAATCAACACATCTATATCCTATGATTGGTTCATCACGTTATTATCATAAATTTACTTTCGATCAGTTTCGATTATAAATTCACTTTCACTTCTCAAATAGATCAGGCAATTTCATCAGCGAATCGAATGTTGGGCTTTATTATGAAGAGTGAAGCGAGTTCAAGAATATTAATATGATTAAAACACTATTTAAAGCCTATTTGAGGTCTAAACTAGAATATGGCGTGTCAATATGGTATCCACTTTACAATTGTCACATACATCATATTGATAATGTTCAAAAAAACATTCAAAATATCTGTCTTTCAAAGTCACAGGAACATATCCTCAGAGGGGAAGGGACTAACCAGACGTGACGTGGCTAAGAGCGCGCGAGTGCACGATGATTCCCCGCCAATCGAGAAACAGTGAGAGTAATGTTACCGACTTCTATAGAACTTCGGAGAAATTTCGACAACATTCGAGGATATCAGGACAGTCAAGTGGACGTTACAGTGCGGTAGGCGAAGTGATTTAGTAAGGCGATAGACATTCAAATATTAGTTGAAGTTTTAGTTGAAGTGTTTGTTGTATATAAAGTGAAATAAAGTTAAATTTGATTTTTCAGCGTAGTCAATTATTGGTGAACCCACGGGGAAAAACGTAACATTTGGTGTCGGAAGTGGAATAATTGACTGAAAGTTTTTTGTTTCATGGTGAAAAGATGGAGTGTCGATTACGACGAGATGGAAGAGCTTAAGAAAATGTTCGAGGCTTTGCAAGTGGGCCTGGAAGACCGAAAACGCCGAAATGAAATTGATGAACGACGGAGGTAGGAAGAAAAGTTACGCAGGAATGAAGATAGTGAATTACTACTGAGTATTCAGGAAAAACAGGAAAAAGACAGAGACTTGCTGGTGAATATTCAAGAAAAACAGGAAAAAGGCAGAGACTTGCAGTAAATATTCAGGAAAAACAGGAAAAAGACAATCAGATATATCTTCATCTATTGGAAGACTTAAAATCATCCCAAGTAAATGAAGGAGAGGTACAGAAATTTATTCAGGAAAAATTTAGAAAAGTGTTTCAGAAAAAAAGTAGGGATTGGAAAAAGTAGTCGATGAGAAGCTGGAAGGAGTAGAAATGAAATTTGAAGAGGAGTTTGGAGGAGTCGAAAGGAAACTTGAACGCTTGATGGAGTTGGTGTTAAGAGGACTTACCTGAAAAACATGCTTGGTCTACCTTGATGACATAATAGCCACGAGGATATCGGGACAGTCAAGTGGACGTTACAGTGCGGTACGCGAAGTGATCTAGTGAGGCGCTAGACATTAAAATAATAGTTGAAGTTTTAGTTGAGGTGTTTGTTGTATTTGAAGTGAAATAAAGTTAAGTTTGATTATTCAGTGTAGTCAATTATTGGTGAACCCACGGGAAAAAACGTAACAGTATTCTTACTACCTTTCAACTGTGATCTCTTTTATTTTTTCCTTCTTGTGATATCTTCTATTTCTATCAATTGTCTTTTAGCTGTAGCTATTTTTTTTAAGTAATCACCCTGTTTTGCATATATTTTTTATCGACACCTTTGTACATTTCCTGTAATAGGGTGAATGCCTTCAGGAAATAAAGTGCTATCTAATATAATCTAATCACATGAAAATATTCAACATTGATAGGTTGATTGAATAGAACTGACCGATACTTGATGAAAATCCATATTAAAAAACTAATCAATACAGTTTATTGTATGACTTTCACTATAGTGAATAGTTATAGTTATAGTGAAAATCATACAATAAACTGTATTGATTAGTTTTTTTTTGTAATAGGTTGAATTGAAATCTCTGTTGTAAAATGGATAGATATTGAAAATAATTTTCCCACGCCAGTACAAAAATACTGCTTCTTTTCCGTAACTTGTTATCGTCTCTATACAAAGACAGCTGAAGTATGAACTTACATAGCATGAAGTAAATTTGATACTCACTTGTTTGACTAGTTCTTCAGTGAGATCTTCGTCTTCTACACCGGCATAAGGCAAGGTGAAATCCGCTATATTGGACCAACTCTGACCCCACATGTTACCTACAAAAAAAATAATCACCAAGTTGTTCAAGACAGTTACCGATAGGCATGACTAGAATAAAAAGAAAATTCCATATTGAACATTCTTTCAGGAGCCTTGTAAAGGTTTACTTTTCAAATGAGTGTGGCTTGAACGTTAAAAATGCATTTCTTTAGATTTGTTTACTGCCAGTCTTCAAGCATAGCTCACTGTATAATAAGAAAGTTTTTCTTCCTTATTCAAAGTAATCGGGCAAATTTAGAATATGCAGTTGGTTAGTACCTCGTCCACTAGATGGAGTGACATTTTATTGTTCGCTCCAACTTTACTCTGAAAGAATTCCGATTTTCAATTATGGAATATCATCGACTTTAGGTCGATTATAGCCACTATCTTGCATTGACGAGTGGCTAATGAGCCCGAAACCGGTCTGCAAGTGTGCCCGTTCCAAAATTGAAGGTCGACTCTTTCAGTTGTATTGCCAATTGCATATGCAGGAAATTCTCTGTGAAGATTCCTCCACTGACGCCTGTCGGATATAATCCAACGCCCTTCGTGGTATTAGCCAGTGGAGTAGTTGTTTTCTGATAGGCGTCAGTTCATTCAACCTACTGTGTAGGTATATCCGAGACTAGCTTGAATGTTTAAAGTTCATTTCTTTAGATTTGTTTACTGCCAGTCTTCAAGCATAGCCCATAAGAAAATGGTTGTCTAATGAATCAAATGTAGCAAATCATTTTACATAGAGCTGTACATTCAAGTGAAGCTGGAAAAATGTGTATGAGTTAAACCAATAATAATAAGAATAGGCACTAATGTTCTTCATAATATAATTTTCGTTATTGAGATTTCTCTTTGGAATTTCATCTGATGATAATGATTTGACATTTTTGAGCACTGTTATTCCATCTTCCAAATGAACTATATTTGAAAAATCCATCGTAATACTTAGTTCTAAAATTCTACCGTGAATTTTGGTTTCTGTCAGCTAATATTGTGTTCGAATTTAAAAAATGTTTTGATGATATTGTTGAAGTAATGCTGCCAGATGTTTTCCTGAAGTTGGAAATGGAATCCGCTATCTGGAGAAAAATATTCACCATTTTGATATATTCTCAATGTTCACATTATTTGTATAATTTTTATGTTCTGCTCATTTGCAAAATATAATATTTCTTGTGATAGAAATGCTTCTAATTTTGCTTTTCATAGACATAAGAAGTAGATATATATTCAATTGGTATGCAAAAAACTATACCCAATAAATGCACCGGAATGGGCCCCTTCTCAGTTACAATATCTCCATACTTCTGTCTGAGCTTGTACCTCACGTAGGCATGGATCTGCAGATACAGTGGGCGCAGCTGCTCCCACAGGTTTTGGATTTGCTGCTTGAAATCGGGATCTTCGTAATCGTGGAGCCAATATTCAGCATTATTTGTGAAATTGTTCAATTTGGCAGCTTCGTTGGATAGATTAACATACTCGACGTAAAGGTTTTTACATTTTGGGCCGACGTTGTTTCGCCACTGCACCCAAACGTGGCTGAGCTCCTGGGGGTCTCTTGAATTGGTCAATATGTTGGTCATATCTGGAAATGAGAAGATAATGAATTATAGTTACATTATAGTTACCTGAAAAGGAGTGCAGCAAGTGCACTAGGGCATCAGGCGCCCCGAGGTGGGCTCTGTATTTCGTGTCAGAAACCTCTATACCCATCACGCGACTGCGGTAGGCAAAAATATTAAAAATACCATCCTGGCAGGGCGTGATGAACACCTCAGTTCACGATTTCAGTCCACTCAACCTGAGGAAAGCAAAGGTCAGACGCTTTGCGAAGTTCTTAAAAAAGACCCCATCCATTGGCTTATCTGTGTTGCCGCAGGAGTGAAGTGATTTCTGCGGCTTTTATATGGGCCTTTTGCAGAACGGGTTCCAACTCGGTGACAGAGTTGTGATCACCTCGTTCAGTGTCGAAAACTAAACCGTATTCACCAGCTGCTCGGTCACGTGTCCTGAAGAGAAATGTTACAATTCCTGCTCTCTCATGGTCGCGGACCATGCAGAGTAGTGGATCCAAACTCCTGACGACTTAACAGGCTCCATCCGGTACCATTCTGTCATATAAACACTCCAAACTCAAATGTCCACGGCCTCGCTGTTGTCGAGGAAAGTACAAACGCGAAACGGACGGTTTGGGACACAAACTCCTTTGAAGGGGTCTTTACGTCGAGTTGATACAGCTCATCTCGAGTCCACTTCACTACACCAAATGACTAGAGTAACATTGGAACGGCAGGCATATTTGTTGCAGCAACTTTGTTCTTCCCCGATGACCAGATCTGTCGAAGTTTATGCCGCTAAGAGAGTTCTCTACTACTGTTACCTCTTGTAAGTGGCGTTGTTCCTCCCCGAGGTGAGTATACGTCTCTCCGGCATCCAGGTGTTGCAGAATGCTTATTATTATCATTATGATTATCATTATTATTACTTGCCTATCAATCATCCAAATTCGAGCAAAGCTATAAATGCAATGAAACATTCCATTACTTACCTGGCTCCAATGCCAAATCGCACTTTTTGTCGTCTTTAAAATCGCAAATTTTCGTTTTCGCGTATATGCCCTCCATGTCGCTGATAGTTTTTCGGAGATTCTTAAATTTATCTTCGGGTAAAGCAGCCTGTCCCAAAACCGAGTAGAATCGGAATTGTCTCTTGACGCCGTAATCGGAAAATCTATTCCAGTCATATTGAATCACACGCTGCCATGTTTCTTTCTCGTCCTTGGCGGCTGCTGCAGCTACAGATAACTGGAAAGAAAAGGATCGATTTACAGCAGGAAATATATATAAAAAAATGTATTTTTCACAAGCAATCAAAGATACAACAAAATTATATGGTCAACTGATGTTTACTTTATAGGTTTACCAATTGGGGTGTTTACAAAATAAAGCCTTAAAATTCATTTTCCGTTTTCTCTTCTTAGTATTAACTTTTTCGGGGTATTGCGTACGCCGTTCTCTGAATAGTCGTGGGTTCTCGTCACTCCAGTTACGACAGTTTTATTTTTTTGCCTGTCCATTAAGAAGTTTCAGTTTAAAAAGAGGTTGATAACAAAAAATCCCGATGCTATCATTTTTGGAAAGTATATGATGAGTGTTTTTCAATCATTTAAATTGGCATTGAAGAATTATTTGTTGAATTATAGAAATTCATATGTACTGAGAAAATAAATATTTCGAATTGAAATTCAAATCATTAACATCTCCCAACGTTCCTTCATAAAAAAAACAGAAGAAGTAACAATTCCACCAGTTCAGATCAAGATGACAGATATCAATCTAAACAGTTGTTATTTAAATAATTTTTCTATTTATTTCACTTATAGATAAGATCCGAAACCCATACAAACCAACATGAGTGCTTACCTCATTTTTGAGATTCTCTTCTGTGAGGTTGGAAGCGTATGCCCAGCTGGCCAGAGCAACCTTATTTTCATTTTCTTCTGTTTTCTTGTTGATGGCCAATAAAAACTCGAATGCTGCCCTCTCTTCTTCTTCTATGTTGGGATCTTTGCACTTTACTAAAGTTGAACAAAATAAGCCCAGAAGGACCAAAACCAACGGAGTCATCCTGCAACAAAATAGTTTCAATAATGTAAATGAATCAATGATACTTTATCAGTTAAAGTTATCAATGGAAATCCCAGTCATAATTTTATCGAGATTTTTCTATTTTTAACCATAACTTTGGTATTCGATAGCAACAGAGTGGTACCTGGTATTTACCAAAATAACCGATTTAATTTCTAAATTTGAGAATATTTACTAAACTGTTCCTGTAGTGTTTTTCAATATTCATGAGATGTAGGGGTTTTTTCGAACATTCATTCGAAATTCTGCAGTTTTGATACCTAGATGGATACAGGTTATTGTCAAAACAACATTCACATACACAATCGCAAAAAAACAAAAGTCCGGAACAGGATATCAAATAGTACAAAAACATTCATTACAAAAACTCGATTTTTATGCCAGTGTGATTGAAAGAAGAAGTTCAATGAAATGTTGTACTTGATCTACTGATCTCAATTCATGTGAGTAATATTCACTTCCCAAGAAACAAACAATTTGTTTATGGGAGGGAAATTACAAAGTTAGTGATAACAATAACCTAAACAGAATTAGCCTATACAGTGATAACTTAAACAGTAATGATAAAGTAATAGAAAATGAAAAATATTCATGTTGATACTTTATGAGTTCTGTGCAAATTTGTGTGAGCTGCATGTACTCATTACTTTCCCACATAACTCATTTAATTTCAAAATATCTCTCAAATATTCGATCGCTTTTGTTAGATAGACATCAACTTGGAAACAATGAAGTTATGTCAAATTATACTGAAATATTCCTTTACATTACGAGTACCTAAACTAAGTTGCGAATTTCAAATTTCTGTGACAGACTAGCATCCCCAAAAACTGAGTTTCAAACTTCCCTCTTCCAACCTTGTTGTGGTTCAACTTAAGCCCCTCTGTCAAGAATTGTTTGTGAATATGGATTTGGTCTTTACATTCACTTCACATCATATAGGCCAAAAGGAGGAAACTTTTTCCCAATGAATTAAAGAACATATGAGTAGTTTCTGAAGGAGTCAATTTCTTGTCTTGTCTGGACAAGAGGCAGTTAAATATCCATTCGATCTCGGAATAGATTTTTAAATCTTCGGTGAGAAGCAAACACTCACAAGAATTGGAAGATATGACAAAAATCATTATTAAATAGGTTAAACAGGAGATTACCCTTGGGGCGCGCCTAAAGTAACCTATACAGGGTGTTTCCTAACTACGGTACGAAAATTCAGAGGGTGATTCGTTAGATCGTTTTAAGAAAAACAGTTTATATGAACATATGTCCAAAGTTGGTTCATTTCTGAGGTACAGGGTGTCGAAGTTTAAAAAAATGGTATTTATAAAATTTATTTTCTGTGAAGATTCCTGCACTGACGCCTGTCGGATATAATCCAAAGCCCTTCGTGGTATTAGCTAGGGGAGTAGTTGTTTTCTGATACCTACTGTGTAGGTATATCCGAGACTAGCTTGAACGTTTAAAGTTATTTCTTTAAAATAGCTTATATTAATTTCAAAAGCTCCAAAATATCTAGTGATTTTTCCACAGGACCGTTTGGAAATAGATTAACGTTATGAATGTTTAGCACTATTATCATTTTTTTAAAGATGAACGGTTTGATTCATCAAGAAAATGTTGAGTGTTACTCATCATTTGGACTTTCCAGGCGGAATATTCAACCCAAAATCCAAAATAGCATTTATTTCTTCTTTCTGGAGAACCAGATTTCCAAAAAGATCAGCTCATAAATGCAGTATTTTGCAATGAAATTTTATAGCCATACGTTGACTGGTTTATCAAATATTTTTTGTATCATTTTACATTAGCAGAAGGTTTTCAAGTATAATCATGCGGGATTCATTATTCTATAGTCGCAAAATTTGTTTTCATATTAATTCAATGCCTAAAAAAACAACATTAAAACCGAACAATTGTGCTGATTTCATGATTCGTCACATGGCGATTATTTCCCTCAACGGTACTTGAACATAAAATTATATAATTGAATTTTTTTTCTTGTATTTTCGCAATTAGCTATTCGTCAAGGTCAACGACATAAACATTTTGTGTGATTTCTCTTCGAGGCGCCTTGTTGAGTGCAAAAACCACTTATGAATGTCGAAATCAAATGAAAACAACATGGGCGGAACTATGTAAAAATTCAGCGATCTGTTTTCGTAAACGAGGTTAATTATATAATTTTATGGTCCAACGAGAAGTAGCTATGGTCTTCTGATGATAATCATCACGTATTTTGTAAAACTTTCGATAATAGATATTCATAATATGAGTGTTAAAAGTAAGGTTCTATTATGCGGGTGAAAATTTTTGCGAAACGAGCGTAGCGAGTTGAGCAATTCCACTAACAAAATAAAACTTACTTTTAATACAAATATCATACAACATTTTTTGTACAACTGTCATAATAAAATAGATAAATTTAATATGTCTATAAAAACGCATTTTGACATCTCTTGTCAGTCAACTATTTTCATGTTATCACATTTGCTGTGAAGTGGCCGAGTCAGTTTAAGCCGAATTACCTGGTTACCAACAAACAGTATTGTTTACAGCTCACGAGTTTTATTTAAAGTCACATTTGAAGTTCTTGCTGGTGTTTAATGTCTTGCATAATGAAAAACAATAGTGAGGCTGCAAAAAGAGCTTCCTTTGAATTGTTACCAAAAAAATCGGCTCAGCAGTACGACGTCGCATATTCTAATTTTCTTAGCTGGTGTAGA